ATTTAAGCGTAGCTTTGATAGTAAATAAAATTAAAGAAAATAGATTGAGATGATTTGGGTACGTCATGGGAAGAGTAGACTCTGAAGCAGTAAAAATTATTGTGAAAATAAACGTAGGTGGAAAGAGTGGGATGGGAAGACCGAAAAAGAGGTAGTTTTATGCAATAGAGAATGAGGTAAACCGGTGTATGCGAGGTGGGAGATCGGGTCAAGTGGAAATTCAGAACGAGGATGGCCAACTCCATATAGTTGGTATGAAGGCGAAGGAAGAGAAGAAAAATAAGAATATAAAACAGATACAAATAAAAAATATAAAACTATATTTAAATAATTTATATGAAACGAGTCAAATAATTTTTTTTTAAATAGACTTTTTTTTATACATCTTTTTTTTTTTTTAAATAAATATAAACTACGTATATAATTTTTTTTTTAAACAACGCGATACGGATATAACAAAATTCCAATCTGATTTTTTTCTCTTCCGTCGTATTTTATTTTTTTTATTCCATTAAGAATATAATTATTGCGAACTAAAGTCGGTTTCCTGGTTTTTAATGTACCTGCGCATACAATTTTAATGTAAATGTCTGCTTGTATTTATAATAAAACATTAAAAACTATTAACAATATACTAAACGTGGATCGCATATAGTTTGCAGCCAACTTAACGATCACGGTGTTTCGTAATCTTTGTAAAATACGCGACTGTATAGAAGCGTATTCGCCTAACCTAATTAGGTTAGGTTAGGGTTTTTGTTCATAGGGAATTACCCTAACTTGTCGATGAGTACCTCAATGCATACCTATCCGAACATCCCATCTACAATATTTACCTACCCCAGGACGGTGCGAAGTATGTCGAAAATGTATTTCTGTATGCGATTTAAACAGGTTCTGCGAGTTTATAAGCTCTCCGTCTCATCGGGCAGTCACTATTAATGTATGCCTATCCTAAAAGCCCGAACCAAAACAATGATCTGCCCATAGTAATAGTGCGTGGTTGTATAAATAATGTACTTTAAACGGCGAGTGGGAGAGCTGGTAGCGGAATGGTGTTGTGAATAAAGGTAGCGATGCATAGATATACTGGTGTACAAAATAATATCGAGCCCATCTATAGAACGGCAACATGTGTTCCCCGGCCGAATATAATGTACATATATATATAATGAAGCCGAACGGGATATTTTTAATGAAAAGTCGCGTATCCGACGGATACGTGATCGAGCAATTTTTTTTTTTTTTCAGAAAGCTCAACATCGATATATTATAACAACCCCGTGTCGGGAATTGACGAATTTGATTCGGGGACGGTTTTATTTGCAATATTAATTTTGTTGGACGTGAAAAACGCGGTTTCTCTCGTACACGTATACACGATATACTTGAAATATTATATTCGCAGCGTAGTCTCTCTTTCGTGCTTGGCCGGCGCACTGTACCGTTCCTCTTGATAATATAGTAATAAGTTTGGAAAACTAACGGGGGAGGGGGGGGGAGAAAAAAAAATACAAAATAAATAAATACCGTTTAGCGACAGCGAAAACGGGTAGGGTAAAGGGGTAGACTCCGGGCTCATCCATCATCGTGTGTTCGTCGTCATCGCGTAAACATAATGTAACATTATTACAGAACGGTATCCAAAAAAAAAAAATAAATAAATATATTACCGTACGACGTCGTTATCAGGCACGATAACAATATGTGGTTCGGATTAGATATGATCCACGCGGCCGACAATAATCCAACGAAATATCGCGATACCGTTAAACGCGTTTATAGAATTGTGTACTAAGCTCTTACGGTGTTCGAACATTACGTAACAGAGACTATATTACTACACGGACTATACAGACGCACAAGTGGCTGTACAAATGTACGAACATTAACGCACGCGTTAGTTTATTCAATTTTAAAAATATTTAATTGCAGTATTTTTTTATATAAAATGTTTTTTAGACGGTTACATACTTGCAGCCCTACCAAAGAGTTAGTGTAGTAAGGTGGAGTTGTCGCATACGGTATTCTGACAAATTCGGTTTCTTTTAATAGTCCTTTAGCATTCTATTGAATCAGTCTACAGTCATCGAGAAATATCGAAACTAAACAGTAAGTACATTATAGGTTTACTAATAGTGAGTTTGCATTTCAAAGTCTTAAGAATATTACGGAACGAGAAATTTGTATTGATAAATATTTTAAAATTGCGATTTACCGTTCTACGGCCACTTTACCGCTACCTATTACTGTCTTCGCGACAATTGATTTCGTCCAGTAAATCGATTAACGGTCTGAGCAAATTTCAAATTTTTTATATTTATTAATTGTTTAATAGTTCCAGCGATCCGATCATAACAATTACGATATTTTATATTAACAATTCTTAACCGCGATTCGGAAGGTAGAGCGATTTTTAAAAGAAACGAAATTAAATACAATTAAATTCAACGACAAAACGAAAACGTTTAAAATAAATTAACCCTTACACCGGGAAGGCGAGAAGACGTCATGTCAACGTGCCTGGTTTTCTGCACTAAACCGAGAGACGACAGATTCTTTGTCAACTATACTTTCGCCCGTTCAATAAACAATGCGGCCGTAATTAAACGCCGTTATACAGACGTTCTCGAGATTCGTATAGTTTTTGTCGGATAGTAAAAAAAAAAACGTTTCTAACGCGGGCGTCTCCGAAAAGTTCGAAACAAAAAAAAAAAAAAATTCTATAATATGATTTCAACCGATGGTTGGATGAAGTGAGCGATTATTTCATGATCATATGCGTCATCACTCATCAGCTACACTACGCCGTATAATCGTAATTGATTGATTGAATTTCGTGTTTCGAAAATCGTATTTCGTCGAAGAGAAATTTTTCCTAAAAGCCTGTTTTCAACACCAGATTCGAATAACCTTAATTTTTCAAGAACCCAAGACTAATACCGTCTAATTATTCCTACTTCGGAAATCGCCTTTGGGTGACTGTATACCGTACTGTATAGCCATTCAGAGATTTCAGGCAGTTCGTTTAAAAATATGCTCAAAATATGTGTTTCGGTAGCCTCCCCCCACCCCCCGTCCGGAACGCCCCGATCACACTAATAAACAAACGCATTTCGGTCCGAGCCCGCCCGGGTGAAATGTTCCGCGTCACCGTTCGTTTGAGACGCGCCGAACCTCATTGGCGCATAATATAATCGTGTACCATGCAAATCGACCGTGTCTGTCACAACGTATTCAGAAGTGCAATTCGATTTTTCCGAACACTTTGATTGACGTTTGAAAGGCGAAATGCGTACACACGTACGGACTACGGGCGCTGCAATATTGTGTACCCTGTACACAAGATAACGGTCACGTTTTGAAAACGCCGTTGTGGATGCACTCGAAATCTCCGCACGGATAACCGCCGGCTCGCGGATAAAAGAATCGCCCTGTATTTACAGCGAACACCTATTTACGACGAGACGTCCGCAGCCCGAAATGTGTTGTCATCATTTATCACACATGCGCGCACGTGACGGCCAAATTATTCTCCGCGTTTCTCATTTCGTTCGGTAATATCGGACGCCGTACTGTCGAAATAGACACCGCGCGTGCAACGGCAATCGTTGCGCGTTTCCATCGCGCGTGGTCCGAAGTTCGAATACGGTTCCACCCGAACGAAAATTGTATCCGAATAGTTTTCAAATATGAATATGTCACCCGCGCGAATAACATTCGGGAATATTTGTTTCGGTTTTTTTTTTTTATTTGTTTTTGTTTTTGTTTTTTTTTATTCGATTAAATGCGATTTATTAACAATTATATGACGTCGCAGAATTTTAAATCGAACCGAACTTTGCGATTTTTTTCCACCCGTTAATAATATCTCGCCCTTCCCCGCTCCCCTCCCCCTCGCTCCAATTCCAGGCTTAATTTAAAAAAAAAAAAAAAAACAATTTGTCCTCGTTCCGCGTTAATTCGCCTTATTCCGACGACGCCCTTTTCTCTCGCAATAACGAAGTATCAATTTGAACAGTTAATCGGTTTTGTTCTTCAAGGCGGTTAGGAAATTTCAAGATCTGCCGGTTTCACGAGCTAAATTGTAAAATAATTTATGTTAACGTTTCGTCGAAAAACAAATATTAATTTTAGATGTCACTTACATTTTTGTTTACGAATTATTTATTTATTATGATTGTTACTGGACGATTGTCGCAGTCGGTCCTTATTCTCGTCGGTGCACGGACGAAGTATAAAAACGTTTTTGGGAGGCGATGTCGAATAATTTAAGCGGTCCCGTTGCGGGATATTTACCGATCTTTGGCATTTGGCGGTCAAAAGGCGTTCGCCGACTTACATAGAAGCTTCGCAGATGACGAACAGATGAAATCAACACATTCGTTACTGACGCGTAAATATGCCGTAATACTGAATATTGTCCGTGTCGGGAAACAATGGTCGTTTTACGATTTCCGTTTTAACACCGCCGCGACCGCTGTCATTCGCGTCAAACATAAAAGTCTAACGGATTTCGAAAGGCGCCTGACTGCCGCCTTGCCTTGCCTTGACGCGTCGCCCTATCATAAAGTCACTATGCCGCGACTCCACGAGAGTCCATCGGGTTTCGTCGTATTTATATTATCGGATTGTTTTATTAGAAACAAATCGATATTACCGGGCGCTTAAAGCCGCAATGTATTATTTTTTTCGGGCTGGGGGGGGGTCTTTCGTATAATATCGATTAAAATGAAGATTTGATCGGGGGGGGGGCGGGGATAGGGGCTCTATTTGCGCCGATAGTTCGATGAAGTACACATTATCGCCGTCTCAATATTTCACCACCACTTTACCTGTATAGATTCTATACAAATTATGGTTGAACAAAACTGAAATCGCGATCGCAGTGTACTGCAGAACGCAGAGTATAAACGAAAAGAAATAATGCGTACAGACATTTTTAATCGTTTTCGCGTACGTTTTGTGTTACGGTTGATGTTGTTAATATCGATAATATATTAAACTATTTTGTGCGGTCGATTTTAAAACATTAGAGTGCACTGGTCGATTATCGAACCCAAAGGTAAGCATGTATAGGTATTGTTTGTGTTTATACGTTGGTGTTTTTTTTTTTTTTTGATATTTTAATTTCCGAGCGATTCGTGGCGGTTTTGGAAATCGTAATATTTCGCGCGAATTAAAATATCGCGAGAAAAAAACTAACGCGCGCGTAGTTACAACACAGACGAATGTTTTCGGACCTAACGAATACGCGGTGAGACGGCGGGAGACTAACGGCGAGCGATCGGTTTTCATGGACAAAAAAAAAAAAAATAAAAAAAAATTGAAAAAAAAAAATACACAAATATAACAACGTCAATCGATTTCGCAACATTATTACCGCGACGTGCGTATAACCGTAATGTATCACGTTACGGGACAACGGACGATTCCGTTTTTGACGCGGCGCTCACGCGTCGTATTGTATTGCGCGCGCCCTCCGCATACGGCTAAATTGTCCGTTGTCCGTTTTGTAAATCGAATTCCGAGCGGAATAAGCGGCAAGCGATAACGGAATTTCATTTTTTTTTTTTTTTAAAAAAAACCAACAATAATCTCTCGTCTGCGCGTGCAACGATACGTTATTATTATTGTTATTGTTATAACAATATCGCCGTCGCGTATCGACCGCGCGCGGAACTCCGACGCTCGCGCAAAAACGCCGGACACGCGTGTATATGACCGCATACAATATAAAACAACGTACCGTATTATCACGACTTCCTATCGGTGTTTTTTTTTTTTTTCTTCGTTCTTTTTCTTTCCGTCGATATTTTCTACACGCGCCACTACGCCCGACATCATGCTCGTCGCAACCATACCTACGCGGAATGACGCGTACGCGTATTATACTCGCGCGCTTGCCGTACAAATTCGTTAGGACGCGGAAATTACCAGCACGGGATTTTCGGGTTTTCACACGCGCTCTACCCTCCCGGCGGACTCGCGGACAAACGATATTTTTCCGGGACGCCATTCCGAAGACGACGTGCGCGTATGCGAGCGGACGGCTCCGTGTGCACGGGAACGACGACGCGGGGTTCGTTCGTGTGCCGATAAACGTTTTGCCGCGTCTAAACGCTGACAACGGCGAAACCCTGTTGGCCCACCGCCCGTCATCGCTGACCACGCGCGCGCGCGTCGCCGGCGCGTGAATATATTATTTTTGTAACGCGGAGTGAAAAAGCGCGTGCACAGGAAAACATAATAAACACAACTAGAATATTATTACAATTCTCGCGGTGTTCCATCGCGTAGCACGCAGTTTCGTGTATTATAATGATCGAAAACGCATTTCGTATATAAAAAAAAAAACAAAAAAAAACCGCGGACGACGGATGATGATTCGCATTTTTTTTTTTTTTTTTCGTTTTACAAGAAATTCTGAACGAACGATTTGGTGAACATCCCCCTGAAAATCGCAACCGATAAGAGATATCGTCCACGATAAACGGCGGCACTGTTGGCTGTAAACGTTCGCGTTTTTCGTAACCGTATACACTAACCCGGGGACACCGTTCATTCCCCACTATACGATCCTACGCGTCACCCGTACATTACTCTTGTGACGAGAAATTTTGAATTTGGTAACAGGCACAAATAAAAATAAAAAAATAGTCGATACTGATGACGGGTACGCCACTTTAGCAGGTGAGAAGTCGGCACGGTCGTGTCAAAAAGGTTATTTAATTTAATTCATATCTGTAAGCGATTATATTATAAATCATTGCTTACGAAATACGATTCCGAGCGAAATTCAGACATAATTTACTTTGAAATTCTTTAATATTTATGATTTTCAACAAAATTCAATCTTAAAACGAATATCAAAAAAAAAAAAAAAAACTACGTACTGCATTACGCTCAAATTGTTCATTCTAAGTACAACTTATTAATTGTGTCAGATTTTCAAGCATTTCTGTTTGGAAAAACAATTATATATATATATATATAACACCTACCAAATAAAAAATACGTAAAAAGACTAGAAATTGTAAAACACAAATAGCTCAAAAATATTTTCAGAATATTTTGAAAATTGTGTAACGTATAAAAAAATATGTTTTGTTAAAATTTCAAGTCTCTATGAATATTTTTATTTGGGTTAAAACAAAAAAAACAAAATTGAAAATAATAAAACCTTTATTTTTGTGAACTTTCCCATTCTTTCTATCGTTTTTCGGTTTTGCTCAATTATTAAAGATAACTAGACGGAAAAATGAAAAATCATATTCTCACATATGCCAATTAGATACGAGTATAAAATGCAAAAAACATCACTTGTCATTTTTTGATCGAGACTAGGATTTCTAAAAGAAAACATAATTTGGAAAAATTAAAAATAACAAAGTCGGTAACGGCTCGACGCGCCGTAAATAGATTTGTCCATTACTCGCATCAGTTTTTTTTCGGTTTTTACCAATTATGTTCAAAACCCTCCAGAAAATCGAAAAAAAAAATGACCTTTACAATGCATCAATTACTAAATCCGAAATACATAAAAAAGTTCTCATTTAATTTTTTAACCGGAGTATGATTTAGGAGGAGGAAAGTCGGGGGTGAATCACCTCGGGCCTAGGATTTGAACTGAAAAAAGCGAAAAAAAAATAAGTGTTTACGGAGATTTGAAAAATCCGGGCTTCTACTGCGGTGTGTTATCTTACATCGATTGGCTACATTTAAAACGCGTGCCACAGTGTCGTAATGAGCACGGAAATAATTTCAAGGGTTATTTTAACGTCGTAGATCGGATAGACAAGATAAAAAACACATGTACTTGTCACAGACGCAACTAGACCACCAATTTTGGGGATGCTAAAATTATAGACACTCGACCGACCCATGATTGGGCAATGCCCTCATAAATCCCCTTTATGTGATATTTATAATAAGCACACGAGACATTTAATTTTCGATTTTTTACATATAAAAACGTAGCATAACCTTCTTAATTTTATTTTTATGTACACGTATGCATTGTCTGTAGACGGGTAATCTGTATTTATTATGCTTATCAATCACCTATATGTAATGCATATAATAAAAATGGATAAAATACTATACAAAAAAGTATACAAATATCACAAAAAAAAATTAAAAAAAATATCGAGTATTTTCGGAGTTGCTAATTTTAAACTTGCGTATGATAACCACCCGCTAGTTGCGTGCCCCTAGTTGCGCCTACAGTACTTGCGGTGCTGTACATTTGACGTATTCTATATTTCGTTTGTTTTTTTTTTTTTTTGATTTCGTCGTGACTCGTATAGATAAATAAAAACACGATTTTAACTAACCCTACGTTTTCATTTCTAATCGGAACTATCGAACACGTATACGTAAAACACGAGTAAAAAAAAAGGGGGGGGAGCCCGTATGTCGCTATCTCCGGGCCCCGATTTTCCGTCCGCGGACCCGGTCGTCACGTCCGAATTTCATCCGCAAACCACTCAACAGCGACCACTGCGCCGGACCGACCGGCGATTTTCGGGCAACGGGTTCGCCGGTTACGCGTTCCGGATACCTCGGCAGCGTCGCCGCCGTTACCGCCGGCAAAAACACGTCGAGTACCGCCGAACGACGTCCGCAAGAGCGCGCGGACAAATGGCGGCGCGCGTATACGATTCGGCCGGAACGGGTGCACGCGTGCGAAAAATCGTAAACTTGAACGCGCGCACACGTCGACGCGAAAACACGGGGGGGGGGGCTTATGCAATACCCGTACGTGTGTGTGTGTGTGCATATGGGCGCACGTGTAGTTTATACGAGACGGCGCGCAAACAAAGCCAAAACTATATAACCGGGTTTAATACGTCCGAAAGCCGGCGTGCAAACAAAACGAAAAGCCGTTCGTCCGCGACCCGAGTCCGCGCGGTGCGACGCTGCGGCGCCCGCTATAATTCGGTCGCGGAGGCGTTACGCGCGTGCGACACAACGCGTATAAACACCGGTCTCGGCACGACGCGCAGGACCGCGCGTAACACACACCGCGATACAATACAAGCAACATTGCAAGCATAACGAAGCCCGCGGCCGACGGCTTTTCGCACCGCACGAACAGTACTGCCCGGCGGCGGCGCGTTAGTCACGGGGTACGGCGCATCAGTCAGAATTGTTTTTCGTTCGCGGCGGTTTATCATTTTTAACCGTAAACGATTTATGATTTTTAAACATTTCCCACGCAATTGACACGAGCCCTCCCCGTCCCCGGGCACCAAAGACAGAGTCCCTGAATCCCGGGCCTTCGCAATGTCCAGCGTATTTCGTCGTTTCTACGTTAAACCGTATATAAATACACGCGCTCTCCCTGTTTCGAGTTAATACGGATTTTCTCCGGCGATCTTATTCCGCAGCGACCCGGCATGTTACGTGTACGACTCTGACGTGTTACCAATACGGCCCCCCCCCCCACAGTGGAAAAACCTACGTTCAGAGGGGGAAAAACTCCGGCGGTCCGTTAAACGGGACCCGGTGCACCGATTATGCGTATAATATTTCGCACGGGATAATAAATCGCACCCGAGGGGAGCCTCGCGCGCGACATTCGCAGCAACCGTAGCCGTGGATGAAACGAAAAGAAAAAAAAACAACTCGGTGTATTATTATAATACAAAGATGACTCGAAAGCTGCGCAGAGTGGCTTAATAGTTATTAAGATGCTCGGGTCAGAGATTTCGAGTATCTCGACTAATTTTTCGCGGCCGACTATATTTTCACTAACGGGTTAACGAGACTTCCGTCCATTATTCTTCTTGCACGGAAACTTTTCCGAACGTTTCCGAAGAAAATTAATTCCCCTCCTATATCGGTAGGTAAATTATTATTAATAGAAATAAAAATAATGCTTGCTCGCTAAACTTAGATTTCTCGCTGCAGCAGGGTACCGATAAAATGGCTACAATAATAATAGCGTACGATAGCGTAACAGTTTTTAAATTGTTGATATTTTATTAAAAACTAATATTTGACTTAATAAAAAAAATATAGTAAGTATATGTAACGTTATAATATTTCTATTGTTCTTCAATATTTTATACTGCTACGGATGTTTCGCGCGTTTACGAATTTTGATGTGTAGGTACGTTTATACCAACGGATTTTGGATACCGAGCGCAACGAGGCCTATACTTTAATATGCGTGTTTTTTTTTTCCGTGTGTATATATTTCTTCCTTTCCCGGACTGCTTTAATTGAATAAATAACTAAATATAGTTTCCATGGCTTTTATAATTACAAGACTTAATGGCTTATAATGTTTCAGATTTGTAAATGCTATTAATAATCTCCTTGATACTAATAGTAATAACTTTCATCTTGTAACTTGTCCAATGGTATGGCTACGGGTTCCGTGGTATTACAATAATCTTCTAAAAATACCTATTAATTTAATTTAATTCGATCAAATGTAAATCGTCAAATAACTTAATAACTTTTCATGTGTGTTCAAAGAGTTTCAGTGATGCATCACACAAATAATTCCAGATATACCTGTCATTACAGGTACCAGAAATTTACAACCACAAGTTCTGAAGCAACAGTACTTTTACCGATTAAACCCCAAAAACTATAGACATTTTTAAAAATTCTATTCAAAACATCAGTTAGTATCTGTAGTTTAGCAATATCTGCGGTCGCAATCGGATTTAATGTGTCGGGCGCGAAATTTTAAATGTTGAAGTGGTAAACAAAAATATAATAATCATCCGAATAATGTAAATACTATGTCGCGCTTGCTGTAAACTAATAAACAAATTTGTCTGCATACCGTATCTATTTCAAAATCAGAATTATCTGAATCTGAATTATTTTTATTTGAGTCACGCACTTCTGAAATCAACTGAAACGACGAGCCTATTGAAAATGTTCCAAAAGATTTTCCTCGCGTTACTAGCGTTATCAGTCACTGTGTGAACTATACTAGTTATTGATTCAAGAACAGTAAATTTTATCGAGTAATTATTTTTTATTAGCATTTTATTTAACATAACGTTATTGTGTATATATATAAATTTTCGTAGTATTTGATTACAAATGTCTAGGTGTTCATTAAATATTCGTATCTTCATTATTGCGCGGAGCAAATTAATATTACAACGTCGTTAATTCAATAGAATAACAGTGATTAAAACCACCTATAAAAAAAATATCGGTGCACGCGTCGTAATATTATTATTATTGTTATTATTGTATAACGCACGGTAGTATGTGTACGCTCCGAAATCTCTGATAATACTTATACTGGACTTATCTAGACGTGGTAACGTTTCCGAAATCATCGGACGATTTTTTTTTTTTTTTTTTTTAATTAGCGTTTTGAAATCAAATTTAAATCGAAAATCGCAAAAAAAAAAAAAAAAAAAAAAACAAATACGGCACTTCAAATTATATGTATTACCGAACCGCGCTCGGCACCGTCGTTCGTCAAGCAACGGTTTACCGTTGCTTACAGATATAAATGAAATAACCTCACGTGTCCTTAACCTTCCCGACTTTTCCCCTATAACAGTGGTCGCTCCCGTCTCCAGCGTCGGCTCTCTCTTTTTTTTTTTTTTCATAAATGTATACGAAAAAAAAAATAAATAAAATCCATAACGATAATAGGTAAATTTCGGTTTTTGTAAACGAGACGCGAGTTGGCCGCCCTTGATGTATATGATAATAATATATTAATATATTATACACACCCGGTATGTTATATAATATATCGGCGAGTTTCACGGCTTTTCGCGCGCGCGACGACGGCGGACCGCAGCTTTTATTAAATTTTTCACTCCGACCGCGGGGGCCGTTCACAATTATATTTTATTACATGTTATACGCTGGTCGGCCGACGGCGTCGTCGAGAGATATTGAAAAGAAAGAAAGAAAAAAAAAAAAAAAAAAAAACCCGTCAGAAATTCCGCATTCCGCGGGCGTATCCCCCAAACGGCAAAAGTCACTGCTCCCACGACCCGCGCCGGCCGAGGGCGACGACGAGCCGTCCACGGTCGAGGTGACGCGAAAGCCACGTCGGCGGTATACAATTAATAATAATAATAATAATAATAACAACAACAATAACAACAACAATAATAATAATAGCTACCTGCGCATAATAATGTGTTGCGAATGGGGGAGCGAGGGGAACGGCCGAGTGTGTATTCGTTCCAATTTTCGAAAGTGTACTACCGAAACGATAACAACTGTAGGAGGGTTAGCGTGTTTACGCGCTTAGAATCCGCTCAAAACGAGCCTAAAAACTTCAACCTAAAAAATACTAAAAGATAACTTAAGAAACGTTTATAAGAGCGATAACGGTCGAGCGGGTTTTTAAGTGTCCCACCCCACCCTCTAATAGTTCTCACTTATCACAAATAATTTCTTAACTACAAAAATGATTGTTATACAAAATAATTGTTATCCAATTGTGATTGCAAGTACTTGTATCTAAACCGATTTGTACGTGTTATAAAAAAAAAAAGAAGAAAAAAAACAGTTTGTGTTAATCGTTTATCAATGTTAGAAATTGTAATTACTCGAGTTCAAGCTGTCTAAAGTGAAGGAACTTTAAAACTCCTCTACCACTTTTGATTTTTTTAAATACTTTTAAGTGATTTTTTGACGATTTAAGTGCTTTTTTGCGGGTTTTAATTGCGTAAACCTCCTAATCCTAATAATAACAATAATATTGTACGCAATATATAGGATAGGTCAAGCAGTCCACGACGAGAATTAGTCGCGAAACGAACAGTCGTTGGTCCCCCCTTCATCCTTAGACCCCTATAAATACGTTGCTGAACATAATGCATACAAATTTATAGTCAAGTGACTCGAAATTTTAATTTTTCCCGTTCAAATTGCCAACGATAATATTTTGGTAAGGGACCGGTGACATTATACAATTGTTTATAATGTGTTCCCCAGCGCGTCAGAGATCGCCTCGGGATACTTCTGTAAATTAGACAAATGGTCGTAAATACTTATCATTTAACTCGAGTATTGAGTTTTTATTTTTTTATATACTCGTCGCTTGTGTATTAGGTGAAAATTATTTTATCTGCGAATGTATCGTAGTGTAAAAAACCGGTGGGAAGGCGGAGGGGAGGTTTTCATTATATGTATCGTGAAAATGTCGGCATTTTTATCGTATTTCTATAAATTAACTCCGTTCGCCCCCGACCGAGTGTAAATAATAATATGTTTGTGTATACGTTTTGAACAGTGTACGCTGACCTTTTGCGGGAAAAGGGGGTGGACGGCTCGTGTCATGATTCACGCGCTATCGAGCATCAATTCGAATAATATATTATTGTTAATATTATTATCATTATTATCGTCGCGTACTATTATTATTATTGCTATCGGTACACCTCGGCTCCCGTGTACACGCCCGACAAGTTTGACATTTTTCCAAAAAGCCGTGTACGGCCATGCATCGGGACCCGCGCGCAGACCCGTCCCGCAGTTTTACCGAATATTATCTTTGTACGCGCGTAGGTAATTTAACTTGTTCGGATGGCGAAGTTCTATCTAAAGGTAGGGGATGAAATTTAAAAACAATTTTGTCCATCGAACGTGAAAAACTACTTTTACCTAATATATTACGGAGTGTGGCGGTTTTTCCGTTATACCATGTATGATGGCATGATATATGAGATAACGTTACATATAAAAACGAAAAACATTGTTCGAGTTATAATCATAAGCAATGTGGGCGCAGGGCAGGTAACTGCTTCCCCCGCGAGAATTCCCACCGAATTGTTTTGTTTATCGCAACACTTAAATTAAATACTAAGTAATCATACGTAATCGATGAAACGGGGGCTTAAGTCCTTTCTAAAAATAATTCGTACCGTTTGTACCTATTATACATGTGCGAATATTGATGTGTGCATATGGGAGAGAGGTTAGGGGTAATATCCCCCATTCGGCTTAAAAATACAAACAAATATAAGTAATCTAATATCAAAATGCATATATATTTCAGCCAAGTCACGAGGAAAAGCTTGATGTGTCGATTGGAAATTGGCTTTTTAGTCTAGACGGGTAGAGAAGACGATTTTACGATTTATTCACGATACTTATTTGCTCTCCCTCCCCCTCCCATTGAAAATTCCTGGGCACGTCACTGTCAAAGATCGTTGGCCTCCCCCCCCCCACCCGTCAAGAGGACCTGCGCTCGCTTGCGGTTATTATTAAATCGACGTAAAAGTTATAGGTACGAAAACAAAATAATTCAGGTACTAAAAACCGTACCCCCGAACTGCCACGAGATATGTACCTGTGTACTTACAATAATATATGTTTTGTTAAGACTCGAAAATGTGCTTGTATTCGGAAATTGTTTTTCGTACTAAAGATTTATCGTCTTAAATACTTATATTTTAAGCATAATATTTAAACGGAGAACACATTTTTTTTTCACCCTAATCTGTTTAAATTATTACGCGAGTCGTACCGACGGTACCCGTAGGTATGGCTCGTGAAAAGAACTTTTCTTTTTTCCATTGTTTAAAAAAAACTAGCTAAAGACAACAATGGTTTTTGTACTTAAGTCTCTTTGAAAATATCGTAACCCGAAATTAAAGTGATATAGTAAAACAATTACATTTCGCAGTGTTCGGTACACGTCTGTATATTAAACAAAATAATGTGAAATTTTTTTGCGTACCTATATCATACAAGAGATAATATTTCTAAAATAAAAAATAAGGAATAAAACGTTCAGATTTTTTTTTTTTAATTTTATGTATAAACTATGTTTATAAAATATGCCACTAGTGTACATATTAAGTCGACTCAATTATACAATATTTTTGTGCAACGCACAATTTTCGCACAACTGAAATGAAGGGTTTTTTTTAATCGAGTACCTATTTCGAACGAAATAAAAAAAAGTTATTTTTTGAAAAACGCTCAATGTTCCCAAACCGACGCAATAATTTATATTGTTAGTAATTGTACAAAACAGAAATATATTATTATGTTTACAGTGAAAACATTGAAAAAAAAAAAAACCGATTTATATTATTATATCTACACGACTAAACTTGTTTTCCGAGCTACTTTCGTGCACGTATTCTGTTACGTATATACGTTAAAATGAACAAAAATATTGCTTTTGTAATAACTTTGACGGGAGGGGAGGGGAAGTTCAGAAAAAGATAATATTATACTATTTTTATACATAGTACGGTTTGTTATGTATACAGGCTTCTGATAGACAAAGAAATCGAGATTTATACGTACGAGAGTAAAAACAGAGATTTTGAACCGAGTATAGGTATACTTAGTTCGATGGGGTAAACGATCGCCACCAGACTGACGGGAAACAAAATAACTGCGAGACCTCTGGACCCTCAGGTATTTAAATACACGCGAGACTTTTTATCAACGTGCAGATAATATTTCGTTTAAAAATAGTCGTTCTGTACAACTCGCATGCGTGTTATACGGAATTACTTTTATAACTCGTGTAATATAGTTTGCCGTACAAATAAACGTTTTATATTTCGCGGGGTAGAATGCCCGAAAGATCGCTCGGTCTATAATGTAATCGCCACTAAAACCTCCCCTGAGCCCTGGTATCGGGCAATAAACTTTTGCGGATAATATTTTCGTATAAAATGATTTATCCGTTTTGTAGGCGTGCCCCCACGCGGCTATAATATAAATTATAAAAATATCAATTCGTATAATAGCGTAATGTGCGCACACGTTTGTACAGAAATCGATTATAAATGTATAAACAAATAGATCGTACCCGATTGGTAATAATAATACTAATATTCTAATTCGCTAAACTTAATATAAACGCATATTGGATAATATCAAATAATAATATAGTATAATACGTATAATGAACGGAATTGAAATATTTCAAGTTCCTTGTAGTTCGACCAGTATGTGAAATACATTTTTTAAATATTTGATTTGTTAATAAACCATACTGAACTCTCATAGACTACTAAACTCGCGATTCAATTGCATTAAAAAAAAAAAAAAATAATAATAATAATAATACAAATACAAATATTATATTGACTTATACAGTTTTAATAATAAAATTATTATTATTATTGAATTGTCTTTAAAGTACCCTCAATTTAGTTCTTAATGTAATTGTTAATTTTAATACCTAAATATTTAAAATTTATCATCGCGACATTTTTCGGTTTTACATTAACGTGTGTCACGTTTTTTAGAATCTGAGTGAAGCTATCAATGTATTGGTTTTACAATGATGCGTTTATTTTTTTTTTTTTTATCTGTGAACAACTTTTTTACCAGCAATTTTGCTCCGATTTACAATCGTAGCATATTTTATACTAGGATATATGGCTGGGGTAGTACTTTAGGGAAGTCATTTTTTGATTTTCTCAAAGGTTTTCTTAAGGGAAAAAAAGGGAATCTACAACGGTGGTCCACGCATCATGCGAAGTATGTTACGTTTTTTTTTTTTATTTTTGCCAATCAGTTCAGCAGTCAAAAAAGATTATAAAAATGTCTCTACAATAATAGTTCAAAATCTCGATTTGTGTAGATTGTTCAGTAAAACCTGCAATGAATGAACGTACCCTGTGGAAGTATGGACGATGAAATTTCAGAAGTTTTTGTGCATTAAGCTACATCAATTCAATGTTCAGAGAATTCGATATGATAAGAAAAATATCAAATCAATATCTGACTTCAATTAGCGGACCGTCAAAGCGATTAATCGAAGGGATATAAGACATTTAAAAAACTAGAATAGAAAATGTACGAAATTGAACGACACTGCGCAATCTGGGAACCGGCTTTGAGATAATATTGTCTGATATCGCTTAAACAAATAATGGAGATTCGCGGATATATATGTATACGAAAAATAAATAAAATGCGGTTGATTACCAACCGTGATAAGCTGTGACAATGTATTATTATATTATGTATCATCCATTAAAGTAAATATAGATAACTCCTAACTCTAACAAAAGTACAGTATATTGTGTTACAACAACAAAACTTGAATCTCATGGTACACGAACAGAACTTTTAGTGTACATAAAATCGATAGTACAATTTTTTTTTTTTTTTTTCAGAAAAAAATAATTGAAAATATCAAAAACGCATTCAAGTAAAATACCGCCGAATGAAAATGTCATGTCCTTTAAGGCAAGATGTGAATGAATTGAAGCATTTCCACTAATCGAAAAATTATTATCCGCAAAAAAAAAAACCCCTTAATAAACCATTAAAAATTATTCTTCACTATACATAGATACCATAATAAACTTTTAGCGCGAGTCGAAAGATATTAATTGTAAATGTACTTAAGTAAATTGACTTTTTCTAACACGGTGAGTTGCCTACTCGAAATAAAATAATTGTTATAATGTGTTTTAAATTTGGTTAGTTTTTATTAATTATTTATATACATGTTAATAAACTTACAGCCGGATATTATTACGCAATAAATTAGCCCCCTCCCCTCCCGAAAAAACACACCTTTAAATAATATGCAATTGAAATACCGTTACGCGGATACTTATATTTTTTAACAAATTTATGAAAACGAACTTTTTTCTGTAAATTAGATTCTGAGTGTAGTGAAAATTGCGTTGGTTTCACTATGAAGTTTTTTTTTTTTTTTTACAAATATATTTTTGAAAAAATTTGGGTTGGATGAGTGTTGTTTTTCTTGCTCGGGGCGTAAATACCTAAATACGTTTCTGATGGCAATTAAAAATAATGAACACTCATGTTTGTACATTTGTAAAATCTCCAAACAAATTTAAAACATGAGCTATCGTTGGTACATAATGCGAACACATAATATAAAAAAGGGTTCCAGGATACTATGGCACTAATCCAAAATATATAAAAAAAAAAAAAAAATCGTAAATCATACTAATGATACAGAAGTAAAAATATTACCATGACCTGCTTGACGGAATTTATCCATTAAATCTTTTGAAACTTTAATTAGATATAATTTTCATACTTGAAGGCGACTATAGATTAATTAATTATTATAGATACCGAACAAGCTTATAAACTTTATCCAAAACGTCCGATAGTAAAAAAAATTGGATTACCGCAAATTAAAAAAAGAAAAACATTGCATTTCACGTGCAATATGAATTATGAATTATAAGAACGAGATTATTAATTACTGTGGACTTTTTCGTTGTTTAAAAATATAAACAGATATAATATTAGGTACCAGCCATGTAAAAATAGTCGGCTCCCAAACGACTCCCATTCATTGTTTGTTTTTTCCCAAACGGCTCCCGTCGAAAAATGGTAGCACGAGTGAATGAATTCCCAAACGGCTCCGATATTCAGTACTACGAGTACATTTCTCGTAACAAAGTAAGTACAGATGCGTCATGGGAAACATTCGTACCACATCATACGGTTTACGATAACAAGTTCTATTGAATCCATTAAAATTATTAGAGTTTGGATTTTACATTTCAAATATCATACGCCTATATGGATTGTTGTTAAACAAATTTTAAATAGTTTATCGAATCTATCGATTTGGTTTATAAAAACTTGATCGGATATGCGATATGGATATGGCGCATTTTGCGTATTTGTGAATTTGCATTGTAAATAACCAGTGCCGTTTGGGATTTTCCTTTTTGCGAAATGGGAGCCGCTTGGGAATTTATCTTTTCTTTTTTTTTAAAAACGGGAGTCGAATAGTCCGTCAAAATCGTCAAAAACAACGGATGTAAAAATGAACCTCTGTTTTAGCGTCGCAGATATTGATAACGGTATCCCACCAATCTTCCACCCAAAATTATATAGTGGTACTGTACGCTTTAGATTTGAGAAATTAAATCGGAAAGATCACGGTTACATGGTTCATCGTCGTCAAAATTGCCGCAGTCAAAATTTCGCCCTAGCCAATCCACGAGGATATTGTGAGTTATTAGAAAAATGTCAAAAAAGAAAAAAAATCACATTTTAAACCCCCCGCGTAAAACGCAGTTTATTAAAACGCCACTAATTATAAATGATTGATTAAAAATCCTTAACAACTAATGCGCGTTATATCGATAGTAACTGTTATTCGCCAACATATATAGTTGAAAATATTATCTATACGAATAAGCGATGACGACATTTAACACCTACTTATAGAAATCAAAAGCCGGCCCGTCGTTAAGAATATGCGGCCGTCAGCGAATATTAAAACGCAAATACGCACTCGTTTCGTTCAATTTATTATCGTGTCATACCGGTGTTTTTTTTTTTTTCGTAATTTTTTATTTATTTTTTTCGCCACCCGCACCCTTAGGAAACGCCTTGCTTGCACAATATTACGATGCTCTATTGATCAGGGACTCCGTACGATGAAAAATTAACCTGAAATCGATATTATTAAACCTTGCGCCGCCGGTAATATAATATTATTTTCCAATAATCGGGATTACGAAAAAGTTAAAATAGTTGAAGAGGGGAAGGGGATTCAAGAATAGATAATTGCACAGGCTATTGGACGCGGCCGTTAACGATAATAATAATTTCCGTTGACAAGCGTCCGCCCAAAATGTGAAATTTAAATAAATAACATCGTAAATGAAATAACGAAACTAATAATAATAATCACTTATTCACGACACCTACATCGAAAGTTTTTCGACTTAAGCATTTTTCCGAATAGCTTATTTCATTACAGCCCATCAATAATAATATTATAATGCCAGAAGGTATTAGAGAGGTTTAAGAAGATATTTAACAAACAGAAATCTTATCGCACCAAAGTATATTATTATATTAGATTAAAACGAAAAGCATTCTTTGCAGAAAAATCATTTGATATTCTTAACGCGTTTGTGCTGCAGTTATACAAGAATACATTAAACACATTATCATTTAGTTTGCGTTTAGAACAATAATCGAATTAAACCCGAAACCGTGTATACGCATTATAAAATTAAAGAAACGAGATATTATTATGTTATCACAACGACTGACGACGTGTAAACAGTATTACTGTAGAGTAAAAAATACGAAAACTAGGTAAGTATATGTATATCTAGAGTAGGTGGGTACCTGATATAGAGCAGCTAATTATATTATCGCGCCCGAGTACGAGTCTACAGATATTATTATGGTTTTACTTTTAAAGAGAGCCGGGCGATTTCGCACGTGGGTGGGTCGCGAAAAGCCAGAAAGGTAATAAGCGGGAAATTCAATGTATATCTGTAAGCAACGATAAACCGTTGCTAACGAAAAAATGATCCTGTGCGTAGTTTAGTTGATCGCGTTGCTTTATCAACAATATATGTGTGATAGAAAAATTGCACGGGCATTATATATCCTTTCTTTAATAATATTTTTCTAATTTATTGTACCTATTGCCCCGGGTTTTTTTCATGTATTGGGAAAAATCAAAAAAACTACCACTCTAAAGTAATTCCCCGGTCCGATTTCTTTTCAGAAAAGGCGCCACACTTAAAATCCGGAGCAAGATGTCTGGTAGGAAAGTTGCCCACGGAAGAAAAAAAATAAAAAAATAAACATCATTGTAAAACCATAAGCTTCTTCGCTCCACTTAGAATCTAAAATGTACGAAATAATCGGACTAAACAATCGCATACGAGTTTTTTAATATTTGAAACATTATATAATTATTATTGAGCATATGTACAAATATTGTCAAAAATGTCGTATCTCAAATCATACATTATTTTAACTGTGTGAAAAATGAACTGCGACTATTTAAAATATTTTTTGCGATAACCTACACATTAAATGCACCTAATTTCGAAATCGTTAATACGGTAATAGAGTAATACAGTTTTTCAAAACCTTTTACAATATTCAAACAAATAAGAAAAAAGTATTTCGTTAGTTCGAAATAAATATAATTATTAATTAATTCGCTAAATCGTTGAAAAGCAAAGCTGTTTAAATTATGAAACGAATAATTTCGAGTTTGTAATTCAATTACCAACGTGATTAAAAAAAAAAAAAAAAAAATTATGTAATATTTATGTAAATCTAAAATCATTTAAGTCGTCTGTTGTAGTTGTGTAAGAGTTATGATGTCTATATCAACTGGTGTTATTGTGTTTATAGTGTTAATAAACAAATTTGATTAGGCAACTGTCATGCACTCAACAACTTTTGATCAATTTCGTGGTTTTGAAATTATTATAAGGATAATATTATTTAGCGAGATGACTAATAACGTGATTTTCATGAGCGCGCTCACGGGGGGGGGGTCATGGAGTTTAACCCCCCCCCCCATTGGCTGTTTTTTAATTTTTGCAATCAATATGTTTTAAATTAGTAAAAGATGTAAATATTTATTGTCGCATCGTATAGTTCATATTTACAATTACAATATAAATATATTTGTTGCACCAAAAAGTTATTGATAATTTATTAAAAATAAAAAGTGTATTTAATTTTGCATCGTTATTTTTTTAGATTTTGAGTTTTAAAAAAATGTAATGGTTTTACAAAGATGTGTTTTTTTTAATTTTTTTTTTATATGAAGACTTTTTCTACCAGAAAGCTCACTCAGATTTCCAAATATAGCACTTTTTCCGAAAGGAAATGTTCTCGGGGTGGTACTTTAGCGAAGTAATTTTGTTGAAGTTCCTATTAATATTCGAGATAATGAGGAAAACCCGGTTCTCTAAGTTAAAAAAGATTGAAAGATTAAAAATATTGTTGCGCATTGCGTTGTAATTATTTTACCATACTTCCCACGTGGGCACAACCACTGTTGTTGGTGGGAAGTTGGGTAGGTAGGATACAGACGGGAATTTAATGAATATCTGTAAGGAACGATAAACCATTGCTAACGAAAAAATTGATTCTGACCTGAATTCAGTTAATCACTTACGTTAGTTTGTCAACAATAAAAATATAATATATATTATGGTAAAATAATTACTATAATGCACGTTTCCATGACAACAATGATTGTTTAAAAAAATTAAGACAATAAACACTTAATAATTAAAAAAAAAATAAATAAAAACCGTTGCCAATGACAACCTTATTTTTAATCATTCAATCTGTTTTAACCTGTAGAACCGGGTTTTTATCGTTATCTCGAATATTAATGAGTATTTCAAAAAAATGTCCTCTTTAAAGTTCCACCCAGAGAACATTTCCTTTCAGAAAAAGTACTAAACTTGATAATCTGAGTATGCTCTCTGGTAGAAAAAGCGTTCACATAAAAAACAATTTAAAAAAATAAACATCATTTTAAAACCATTACATTCTTCGCTTCATTCAGAATTTAAAATAATAACCTAACCTAAACTTACATATTTTTTTAGAAACCCCCATTGGAAATTCCTGTGAACACCACTGGTCATGATTATCACAATAACCATTAATTAAATACACCAAACTGAATTATTTTTAACGTATTTCAGTTTTGAAAACGGATTACGATTCTTTATGTTCTTTACCAGGTTATGTTGTTAATGTAGATTTGTCGTAAACGATTTTACAGGGAATCGTGAACAAATTAATCGTACATTTGGAAAATTTTCAACAATGTAGGAACTATTAAATCCACCCGACACGATTTCTACGTTTTTACAGAATTATCTGTATTGTACTTGTTGGCCAGGTTTATTATCCGATTAACGGACGAATTGACATAATTATTACAGATTGTTGATATATTCGCGCAGGTGAATTAAGCCCATTTCATTCCTTTCAATGCAAACGAAATTAAGTAATTTTGTATAATTATAATATTCGACAGTTAAACAGTATTGAATGTTTTAATATCAATACTGCAATCGTGCAAAATATGATATTCAGGTTATATATACTATTTTATGTACGGGCACGTAGCCAAAGGAGAGTCCGTGGGTCCGGGCCTCCCTTTTTTGACGACATATAACTATTTTTTTTTTTTTTTTACTATTACCATACTATTTCTATACTATGATGAAATTTTGTAATTTTTGAAAACGGTACCTCCTATAACGAAATCCTGGCCACGTGCCTGTGCACAGATATTCAAGAATTTCAAGGAGTGACCTTATATATCGTTACGTTTGACGTCCTTTTTGGCATAACGAAAACTCCTTGAACGCTCTAATTTTTAAAGATACGTACAATTTCATTCCTTGGAAATTTCAGATACGATAGGTATTGTTTTATTTTTTACGTATGTATAATGTAAAATTGAGTAAAAATGAGTATTTAATAAAAATAATACAATAAAATTTTGCAACAAAAAAGTACCTTAGTTTAGTAATTATATATCTACCTTAATAAAATTCTATTGTGTATTTATATATATATGTATATAAAAAAAAAAAAAAAACAAATAATAAATTACTATTATGTTCATAATAAATTACTAAAACTGCACATAGGTACCTACGCAATAATATTATATCAAGCATTACACAACAGATTAAATATTATTGTATACGAATATAATCCTAATAATATACGTACAAAAAATTATTAATTTATGAACTGGAATAATGTACTCGTAGTGACAAATTACCGAAACATGAAATATAAAAATATAAAAACATAACAGTCATACTGTATAGAGTAAAAAACGTATGTTGTGAATATTGTGATTAAGATTTATTCGTAAAAAAAAAAAAAAAAACCCCGAATCCGTACTGAAACCGTTGAAATCCCAAAAACGGGAAAATGTATTGACGATAAACGTTCCATTGCTTATTTATTTATACTTAACCCATACTTATACCGTAATTGATTTGATTATTCTGGAGAATTTAAAACGTTTACAAGTACGCTAAAAAATTGAATCAATTGTTTATAAACACTTACACATCGTTATTCGTATTGTTGTTGTTATTATTATTATTATTTATAAAAAAAAAAAAAAAAATCGGTTTTACAAATTAATGTATAACTGGTAGTTATAACATGTATATTCGCGTTCAATTAAGTGTCACGTTTAATTTTCTGTATTAATTAGAGATGTTTAAACGACGATCGCTATCAACAAGATATAGCGAAACGATATCATTGAAATTTAAATAATACAATTTGTATGCGCAAACAACCTAGTAATCTACATAAGACGTAAAAAAAGTATTTAATTTAAGTAACAATAAAATGGAAAGATTCGGATTGGGTTATAGCTAGGCTCGTTTGTGCATAAATTATTTTAAATCGAAATTTCGTTATATTGTACCAAAAATATTATTGCGAGTTGATTAAGACGCAGTAATTGCCGTGTGTTCTGTTTTCCAAAATTATTATTATTGTTATTATTATTAAGCTTTTATTTCAAGAACAATGGGCCCCATTCAGCATGCTTGTGTGGGAGCCCATGAGTATTTATCTTACAATTTTTAAAATTATTTTTTTCTTTTTCTTAAATTAAGTCAATTACAAATTTAATGGTAGAGATACTTAAATACTAGAGAATATAAAAAAATGAATAAATGAAAAACAACAGGCATGAAAAAAAAAAAAAAGAGAGCTGATATTGGGAGCAGCCACTGTTGTAGAGTAGAAGTTTAGAAGATTGGATACATTAGGTTATTTCATTTATATCTGTAAGCAACGATAAACCATTGCTTGACGAAATACGATTCCGAGCGCAGTTTTGTAATACATAATTTGAAGTGCCGTAATTTGTTTACGGTTTCAGTGTCGAAGCGTGCGAAGTCGTCCAGCGGTCTATGCGCACGTGTGAATGAAAAACAATGTTAGAATATAGCTATGGTAAAATTTGTACATGTACAAAATCGTAAATGAAATGTTAGGTTAGGTTGTGTTGACTATTGTTGTAAGAGCCGTGTAAAGGGGATTGTGGCCGCATAACTTCCACGGGTACTTTGATACGTCCGTATAATTTTAACACCATCGAATTTGGTGGTCCAGTCGCGTCTATGTTCCAGAGGTTTCCCCGATTTCGACATATTTTGTCCGTATTGACACACATACACACACACACACACACACACACACACACGCGCGCGATTGCAGCGTGATAAAACGTTTGGACGACGAATATAACACTATTATTATGCATTCGCGAGTGATTATAATATAATATCGCGATCGTTCGCTCGGTTTGTCGCGGGGGAATCCGTCGGGAATGCGCGGTCGAGATAAACGGGCGGAGTGCCCGTCAACGTCGAGATTTGACCCTACTCCCGATGTCGATGGCGATATTGGATTTCGGTGAAAATAATATTACAAAAAAAAAAAACGAAATAGAGACCGGGGGCGGGGGGGGGGGGGGGGGAGCAATACGACTGTTGTACTGGTCGGCGCAGAGAGAATTCGACGACTGTCCAAGCTCACGCGGTATCGCACACAATAATAATACGAGTGTATTATACGGTCGACACGCGACCACCTGCGAAAAAACGTTCGCCGGAACTTCCGTGCGCGGGACTTACGGCTCTTACGAAAAAAACAAAAAAAAAAAAAAAACCATTACGTACTCGTACTTGCGTGTATAAATGCGCATTACAATATTACGGAACAATAATGGACGGGAAACCGTTAAACGCGATTCTATGAAATTAATTTTCGGAATGGAATTTTACTTGATACGTTTTCCGTTACTGTAGTACGCGCACACGTGCGTTACGCGGAGTTTCGAATTATCGCCCGCGTCGACGCGATAACAAAACGCTAAATTTGATCTCGGTATTATTTTTTTCGCGTTTTCCGCGCATTACTATTGCAATGTACAGGAACAGACGCGCGCGTACACGCCGCACGATTCGCTCATAAAAAGTCATCGGGGGAAATTTTTTTTTTCATACTCAACAGCATCGAAACGCTGCGAAGTCGTACATGCATGGTGCGTGTGTATTTTACTATTGTTACGGGTTTGGGGTAGGTATAAGAACCGTAATATTCGCGCGATAATGTCGTTTTCGCGTCCGTTGTTTGGTCTGTACTATATAATACGATATTGCACAGTGACGAGAAAAATAGGTTGGCGCGAGTGGTGGTGGCGGTGATGGTGGGGGGGGGGAAACGGACATACTTCGCGCGTGGTCGCAGCCGCCGTTGTAGGCGGGAAGTCGGTAAGGCAGAATGCAGACGGGAATTCAATGTGTACCCGGAGGCAGCGATAAACCGTTGGCAACGAAAAAAAAACGATTCTGAACCGAGCTCAGTCGATAGCGTTGCTTTGTCAACAGTATACTATGCGTGTCATATTAATGGCAAAATAATTACGTACGCATTAACCATTTAATAATATCCGTTTAATATGTTGTACGTATTTTCCCGTTCTCCCGTTTTTCCTACGTTTTTTTCCCGGGTATTTTCAATATATCGAGAAAACTCTTGAGAAAATCAAAAAACGACCTCTCTAAAGTACCCCCCCCCCCCCCAGTCAAATTTCCATTCGGTGAAAGTGCTCTACTTGTAAATCGGAGCAATATTTCTGGTAGAAAAGTTGTTCGCGGGAAAAAAATATAATGATAAACGTCTTTGTAAAACCATAGGCTTTTTCGCTTCACTGAGAATCTCAAAAACAAAAAAAAAAAACAACCCTATTTCATTAACAAATTCGGCGAGTACGTTTTATCGGCGATTATTATTCGTTTTCCGGTACACTTATATATGCGTACATAAAAAAAGAAAACGGAAATGAAATTATATTTTAATCAGGGTAACCGATTTGCCCGTACACCGAAAGCGCGTCCGCCACACGTAGGCTTCATAGAAATAACGTTTGTTTTTTTATTACGTTTATCTGTCGAATTCGCGTAACACACGAACCATGCGAATACCGCAGTCTGCAATAATATGGTGGTGGGTACTTGTATATTGTATACATAATGTTATACGTACGAATCCAATTATATATTGCGCCGAACACAATATCGCGTAGTTTTACGCACGCCGTATTATCATTTTATGTCGTTATCATATGTTATTATATTATTATACGAGTTTATTGAAAATGAAAAAAAAAAAAAAAAAACAACCCGTTTATTTTCCGCGTTCGTGATCAATTTCATCCCGGAGTTGTGTTTTATATGGGCACGTTGAAACAGTAGAATTATATTATCAAGAAGAATACGTAGACATTACATAAATATTTTTAAAGGCTTATGCGACGCGGAGTATCCTCTAAACTCGATAAAGTGCGTATCTCATGTTTCAAAAATCACTTAGGATGTTTTATCGCTCGACGTTTTCGCTTTTATTACTCGATAAAGAGTAGTATATTATTTTCGTAGGTACGCGTTAAGTAGCTTATTATGGCGGCCGTGTCAACAGTAACGGATCGAAAATACCTAACCATTGAACTGCATATCCGATAGTATACTATTATAACATTGTGTTTATACTTTTTTTCTCTTCGCGGTTTATTTATTAGTTTAAATTTAAATTTGTAGTTTTTTTTTTTTTCTACTAAAATTATATTGTAAATTTTTAGTCTTGAATATTTATGCTTTGCAGCACCGCCGAAACACTATAGCGTTTTAAGTGTTGTAACGAAAACCCGCGTTTCCGGAAAAATTGCCTAGCTTAAATATTTTACGCACTGTAATTCAAAAAGTATATTGTATAATATAGTTCAGAGGTGTTCTCGGGATTTTTTATAGGGGGAGGAGAAATGAAAATGTATCGAAGAGTAAGCCCGTGGTATAGTCGGACTCTAAACTGTTGTTATTCATAAATACGATTTTCTATTTAAAAATGGGAGATGGAAGGTTGGGGAGGTAGAATACGCATAGAGTCATTTGATTTATATGTGCATAAAGACAAAATCACTGCTAACAAAAAACGATTCTAAGCGGAGCTTGGTCAATCGATTTTTCAAAACAAATTACAATACGAATTGCGTAGCAAACCTGCAGCGCCGTTCCCTACTATTTTCCTATTAAAACCCTATCGTATTTACTCGTTTAACTTATTCAATTTCGTAGTTTTACAAGCAAAAAATACGGTATCTGAGTGCAACCGATAGAAAAAAATCCGCAATTCAAATAATCGGTCCGATAAAAAAATATGCGTCTACATTGCACCGATCAACCGATGATACGACAGATAACAACTTTAAATACGCCCTAAATGAACGAATGACCGCCGCATATTGTATTACATTACGATTCCTATGACACGAGCTGAGGATAAATTTCCGTGCGATAAATTTAAAAATCACTTTATCAATAAAACGCAAGGTTAAAATATACTGTCGTTTGTCAAAATGTCGTTTTCGACTTGAACTGAAAACCGTCCGGCGTACCGCGGAATAAGTCCGCGAACGGGCGCAAACCTCGTATTCGCAATTTCTCCGCTCTAAATTAAATATAATTATTATAACCCTACGGTATATAATGTGAAAAACAATAGTTTTATTTACACAATTATTTTACGGTGTATATCGTGCCGTTAAATCTTAAATAAAATAAAACGTAAAACATTAATGACGACGCGATGATCTGTATAGTTGTTATGTACGCTGATGAATGTTATAAATAAAAAAAAAAATTAAAAAAAAATACATCCCCGACAGAATAATAAAGAAAAGTGTATATAAAGTTGCGAAATATGCGATTCGATGATGTTTTGTTTCTCAAACAATTAGTTTATTGTTGAAAAAAAAAAAAAAAAAATCATCGTATAATTGAATAGTAGGCGCCCAATAAAACGTTCGGGAGTACACATAATATTATTATTGTGTTGCGTATTAAAATGCGCCAGCAATTACTTATCAAAGCAACGACGGTGATCCGTCACGAATCGGTCGAATTATACAAATCGATTTCGAATTGAATACATTGACATTTATATTACACATTTACGGATATTACTGCCATGGCAGTAATATGTAAAATGTCATGTTTATACTGCCGAAGCAGTAATCTTTTCGATGGTATGAAATCATAGAAGACAGTGGACTGCCACATTACGATTTTGGATTGTAGGTATAGCACTACAAGTATAACAGTAAAAATTATGTTACAAGTGTCCGTCGATTTGTTAAAAATGCATTACGCCTAACATACCGTTATGATTTACTTATCATCACAGACCGGATTTATATGTTCTTGTAATCCACAAAAAACATTTGAAAACGTCAAAAATCCTTGAAAAAAAATCACTTGGAAAATTTATAAAAACGCAAAAATAATGGAGGTGTTTAACGGATTTAATTTTTAAATAACATTTTCAAACACTATACAAACAATTCATAAAAAGTATAATTTTTTTTTTTTAATAAAATGTACGATTATATTTAAAATAAATTATTTTGTATGAATCAATTTTGTACTGTTGAGAAATTTAATTTAATAAGTTAGAGCCATTAGTGGTGGGGGACTTTTAAACTCCTCTATAATTTTTGATTTTTTAAATGTTTGTAAATGCTTTTTTTTTAAAGATTTGTTGATGTTATAAAGCGCTTTTTTGAGGATTATAAGAGAATATAAATTCGACCTTTACTCATCGTATTATAAATCGTTTTTTCACAATTTTTCCGCGGGTACCTTATACATTATATATTATTGATCAATATCTTGGAACGTTTTCGGTAAAAATTATTAATACCTGTACCGTTTTTACGGAACGCTAAACGCCGGTATAAGTATGTAATTATCAGTTTTGCCAAGTACCCTAAAATCCCATTCTCGAATTAACCGCGTAATCTCTGCAATAATCCGATGGTCTGACACGTCCGGGCATTTTTTCCCCTTTCCGAAGGGGTAACCGTGCGCTGTTATTAAACTTTTCTAATGAATATTACGCGATGAATTGTGTTTCATCGACGCGATGATATAATACCATAATATTACAAAGATGTTGAACCCTCTATCTGAAAATGCTTCCCAGGTTAATCATTGTTAAAACAAACGAAAAATGGTTTTAAAGCAACTACTGGAAGATTTGGAAAAAATATACGCATAAATTGGAATTCGTTGACGTACGATAAAACTGCGACTGCGTGCGACCATGTTGCAAATATTGGACGTGATTCACCAGTGATGGCGAGAAACGATTGTTTCTTACTACCGACTGTTATTAGTCGGTTTTCGTCGTATACTGGAGCTGACAAATTAGTCGACTTGAAATTTACACTGCCAACTGATACAAAATGATTGAAATCAATCGACTAATTATTCGTTTATTGTACTAATATAGTTATTCGTTAGTCGTTGGTCAACTAAAATTCGTTACGCAGCACCTACTATCGATTAAGATTGTAGGAAACAGTAGGTTGCGCCCATCGTTATAGGCTTTACCGTTTGTTATACAGATTTTCGAGGAAAATAGGTTTTAGGAAACGCCGGAAATGAAGCTTACCGCTGATCAAGTACTTGTGTCCTTTATAAATATGTTATCGAGAGAGGTTTACATCAGGAAATGGTACCGGGAAAAAACCTTTCTTGAATCGGACCGAAGGCCGCAGAGTGCCCCAGGGAGAAAAACGCAAGCAAAAAGAGCGAGGAGTTGTGAGTAACTTTTATGCAGTGTGCTAATACTAGCGGTACCTACTATACCCGAACTCGATCTATATGTTCAGGTAGAGAGATCTCGAGAAACCCAAGAGCATAAATATCAAAAGTCTTTTTGTATTTTATAAGAAAAAATCGTTTTATCTTCTTGCACAGGGTAGGATAATGTTAAAAAAAAAAAAAGAAAAAGAAAAAAAGAAGCATTCCACGAAAAACAAGTTATTTCATAGATATTAAACATAGGTATATTGATTATTATTTATACGTAGAAATCGATCAGTTTATTCAGGTACGTATATATTATTACTTTTTGTACGTCTAGAATAATAACCGTAGTAGCAATAGTAACTCTAAAAAAAAGATTGTTATAAGCGCGATAATATGCCCATGAAAACATGTATGCAAGCGTTTAAATATGCCTTTTAAACGATAAAATACGCGAAAAAATAACAATAATAACGGTACCGGAATATATCTAGAAACCATAAAAATAAACCAATAATGCACGCCATACAATTATAGGGGCTTTCTTGTACGATTACTGTCTTACCGAGTAGCAGCGGACGTTGATAGAAACCAATGGACACGCATAGGTATTCAAGGCCGTATAAATTGTTCTTGTTATCGAATGTGTTTTGGAGTCCGCGGTGTTGCGATACCGCTATAAGCATACGAAAAAAGCGAAATAGCGCTTAAACTTCGAAATACGTGACATAAACTTTCGTACATAGCTTCGCGATATCCTGAAACAAATTTACTTTTCACACGAGTATAATAGCTCTAATATTGTTCTAAAAAAAAAAAAAATAAATAAAAAAATAACGGAAGTTGGGAAGATAGGTTACAGACGGGAATTTAATGTATATCTGTAAGCAACAATAAACCACCGCTAACGAAAAAACGATTCTTAGCGGAGTTCAGTTGATAGTGTTGCTTCGTCAACAATATGTATGTCATATTATGGCGAAATGATTACAACTACGTGCGTTTCCACGAAAACAACGATTGTTTAAAAGAAGATTAAAATAATAAAAACTTAATAATAACAAAAAAAAAAAAAAATAATAATAAATTAATAAAAACGTTTGCCAATGACAATCTTATTTTTAATCTTTCAAGTTTTTTTAACTTAAAGAACCAGGTGTCTCTCATTATCTCGAATATTAATGAGGATTTCAAAAAAATTACCTCTCTAAAGAGCCTACCATCCACAGAACATTTTCTTTCGGAAAAAATGCCGTACTCGATGATCGGATGAAGCATTCCGGTAGGAAAAAGTGTTTGCATGAAAATAAAAAAAAAAAAAAAAAAATCGCTCCGCTCAGAATCTAATGCGTAGACGCTTAAAGCCATGATACCTGCGGGAAATAGCGCGATGATATGATAATTATCGGACCGTTTTGAGTATAACATACCTATTGATTTCAACACGGAAATATCGCGATTTTCGATACTTCCAATACGGGCCGAAAACGGTCCGGGGTCCCGCGGTATAACGTATCGGGTTACGGAGATTACAGCGCCCAATCGTAAATCATCGTAACATAATATTGCGGCGTATTAATTGTTTCAATATTCGTCATATATTAGACGGCTGGTATCCCCGGTATATGATACGCCCGTAATATACTGTGTTATCGTTGCTGTTGTTATTATTGTTATTATGATAATCCGAACGCAAACACCAAGAGGCGGTCGCCCGGCCGCGCATTCGTTTCGCGAGGGGAATTCAAAAACGGAAATGATTTCCCACTGCGTTTATGATAATAACGGCCGTATACTATTCGTCCGACGTACCGAGTTATTTGACGACATTGGCGCGCACATTCGGCGTGAGTTTAATGGGCGCCGGAATGAATTACGGGACACAGATTCGGTGGGGGGGGGGCTTTGCCTCCGACACCACACACCCCCCCCATCCTTTCACCAGTACTCTAATGAACTACATTACAATAATTTTAAACTGTTATACAACCTCGGCTATACGAAGAACTTAATTTCGTCGCAAACCGTTCAAGATGTACACAACATAAAGTGAGATAATATGATATCTTGGGCAATTGCTGTTTAGTGTTTAGACGAAAACTGAAACGTGCCATACTGTTTCAATCGTGAATTCCCGAACTTGTAATGGAAAAAAAAAAAAAAAAAAAATATTTTATCCAAACCAATAAACCACGATAATTTACAAATAATTGGTGAAATATTGAAATAAATCATTCAGGGAAACCGGAGGTGCTAATTTGAAGTCTGGGGGTACCAAGCACCCCTAGCGCCCCCTATGTGTGCCTATGTAATTGACGACCGTTTTTTGAAAAATTAAGCGGTAAAAACCGCCGGCTCGAAATCACTCGACGGCGTCGCTGTTTAATGTAATACAAAAACGAGCAAGGAGTTTTTTTTTTTTTTTTTTGCGGCGTACGATTAATTTACATAAATATCGAAACGGCTAAATAAAGAAACTTTCGCAATCGTTGATAACAGTACAAATGCGATAACGTTTATGATAAAATAAGATATTCGGTTCGTTTTTATTTTTATGAAGTTGAAAAAAATAACAACCACCATGGGTAATTTAATTTTTATCGATTCTGAGCGAAATTCGTTTAAACAATGTTTTGATAAACTAACATTCAAAATTATACTAATTTAGAGTTAAAAAAGAATATTACTACCGTCCGTGTATATTGCCTCAATTGTTTAATCATTTTTTTTTGAAACCAAACTAATGTCATCCGTCACATAAAACCGAATTAAAACCAAAAAAAATACTTGGAAACTTCAAATAGCGATAAATAACTGAAAAATGCTTGAAACTATTTTGAAAATTGTATCGCGTTTATAAAGAACTAGTGTTGATATTCGGTGAAAACTTTAAGTCTCTGTACGATTGTTTTTTGCGAGTTTTCAACAAAATAACAGAAACTGTTATTGCGTAAATATTTTCGTCCTTCCAACTCGATGATTCTTTCCAATTATTGGAAAAAACACATTGAAAATGTAAAACAATAATCTTTTCAACGCGCCAACTATACGGAATTTACTACCAGAAACCATCCTAAAAGATGATAACCAGAACGAGATTCCTGATAAAAAAAAAAAAAATACAATGACACATAATTCGATTGCCAGAAACAAAAACACATCATAGTAAAATTAGTTTATTTATGGCTAAAACGTCAAATTAATAACCATACGCTTACGTAGATGTTCAAGTTTGATGAGCTCAAAGCTTAATATTATTTCGAAGGTTTAACGATGTAAAATGACGATACGATTTTGTTTGATTTTAGGCGCACCAGCTTTTAGGTACACTTTTTTTTTTTTCTATTCCTATTATTATTCTGCACGATGATTTGCGATGCTTAATAAAATATAAAAAAAAATAACGATAAACTATTTAGTTTTTCACTTAACACAATAATTATACCCGGTAGAATGTACACGAAAACGAAGTAAATATAATATACGATTTTAATTATAGTCCGGATCTAAAGCGCGATAAATTCGTTGTTTTTAAATTACGCGTTTTCTTCATTAATACAATAATTAAATCGTTTTATCATTATTGTGAATATTGTACAATACATTTTTACG